CTCCCCATTAATTGTTTGGGAGTTACATATCAAATCAATTTACTGAAATACTCTTGTAATTAAAATGTGAACATGGCATAAACCTACAAGAAGAATGGAATTTGATTGGTTGCCATGGTTTTCAAAGTTAACACAAAATTGTTGGTTAACATTTGATCTTCATATATATATATATATATATATATATATATATATATATGTCAAGATTAGGGCCTTGAGCTCTTGGGGTCTCATGGTTGATACACAGAGATGGCACTGTTCGATTGCAGAAATGGTGGTCCGCATGACTTGGTTGGCAGTTTCTCCCGGTTAACTGCAGCTTCAAGAGATGGGTATAAAAACCCTTAACTGCCTGTGTTTTTTTTTATGATCAACCAACATATACGAAATCCAGAATCCCTCTCGTTTTTCCTCCACACGAATCCATCACCAATCATACTCTTAATTAATTTGATAGATTCAAGTTCATACTTGAATTGATTGTTGTATCCTCAAAACAACACCGATTCACCGGTGCAATTTTTGTCTTAGGACACTGCGTTTAACGCGGGCCTCAATCGGATTTCAGGAACGATCTTTGGAACGACGAATCTATGACTACAAGTAAGGTTACGATCACAAGTTATTTAAGTTTTTCGTGTGAAAATTCTATTCAAATATTATAGTTTTCTGTTTCGATTCAATATATATACACGTTATTACGTGATCTGGTTGTTCTATCCTTAACAACATGAACTAAGGCAACAAGGTTTCTCTTCAGATTCCTCACGCCACGCTACAAGATAACAAGGATACAGGGGAATGAATTTGTCAGTGATCCAACTTTGACTTGATTCATTGGCGGATTACAGATGGATATCGTCTACTCAAAAAGTCTAGCCACTAATTTCTTATAATCCTCGGATTGCCGTGGCCTGAAAATCACTAGCAGGTAATCCGTCACTCACGTTTAAAAATACCCAAACAAACGATAAATTAAAACTTAAGTGAACATTTTTAAGCAATATCACCAACAAACAAATCCGTTTGTAATCCACCACTGAATTTTAGGAAACTTTGAAAATAAATAATTAAAGAGAAAAATAATATTTTAATATATGAATGAAATTTTTTATATTATAATCAATATTGAATTATTTAAAATGGAGAATTTGTTGAAGATGAATGTAATATTTTTGGAAATTTTTGACTTTTAGTTCTCTATTTCTGGAGTAGGTTTAGAGAATGTTGGAGCTGCTCTAACATCTTAATATTATAAAGCTTCAATTGTAAATATCATATATACATACATATACAACAACGTATAATACGCAGGACCTTCCTGAATTTGAGACTTTCTATGACATATATATATAGGGAAGGGTTCAAACGAGAACACCTTCATTTTACGAGAACGCGAGAACATTCTTTTACTATAGACAATCACATGTGATACTATGATTCCATCACATATGATACATATGTGATACTAAATCAAAGATGCGGACGATTTTCGATACGATCTTGGTTGCGGGCCAAGTCGTCCTTACAATACTAAGCCCCCTCACAAGTATTATCACATGTGATAAGGTTGTTGTTGATATGATACTATAATTCATCAAGACCATCACATGTGATGCTAAATTATAGATGTAGACAACCTTTGGTGCGGCCTAAATCGTAGAACACGTCGTCCGCACATCACAGGGTCCCCTCACGCGTATTATCACATGTGATAAGGGTGTTCTCGCATTCTCGTAAAATGAAGGTGTTCTCGTTTGAACCTCCACCTGTATATATATATATATATATATATATATATATACGAGTCTATTCAAGGGAGAACTGATTAGTTTGTGGTAATTGTGAGATCCAATGTGAACCACTCATTTGAGATATTTAAGAATATTTCTTAAATAAGCTAAAAGGGTAATATAGTAATTCTATCTTTGACAACTAATCAAAATATTTAATTAAATTTTTTAGAATGAAATATTTAACTAAAATTAGTGAACTGGTATATCAATTACCTAATATACATCGTATTTTAAAGACGTTTGTGAATTAAAGTGTATGATAGTGATACTGTTCACAACGTTTCATGTGTATCACAATGCATTTTCAATTTTGTTTTATGAAATGTATGATAGTGTACATTTTCGTTATTTTCATTGCTTTACAAAGGGTATCACATTGTGCATCTTGTATGTATATCTGGGTATCACAGTGAATATCGTTTGTAGGTATCACAGTGTATATCTTGTGTTCACATAAGGTTCATCGGAATAAGGTTCGCCACATAAGATTCGCCGGAGAGAGGAAAAGATTCGTCGGCGAGAGGAAAAAAGAGAGATGAGAGAATATTTATAAAACCCCTAAAATGCTCTTAATTAATATAATAAGTTAAAATTATCAAAATTATTAATTTCCTAATTTAACCTTTGATTTTTGGTTGAGATTGGATCTCACGGTTACTACAAACAAAACAATTCTCATTTGATTACGCCCATATATATATATATATATATATATATATATATAGAGAGAGAGAGAGAGAGAGAGAGAGAGAAAGAGAGATTTGGGATCACGTGAGACCAGTCAGTTTTCATGAGACCCGTGAGACCACTTTTTTACATTTAAAATTTCATAGAAAAATACTAAAAACAACCTGATCTTATATAAATCCAACCCTATATATATATATCTATAAAAATTTCCAAATATCCAGATTTGAAAACCAAATTACAAAACCATTCATGATCGAATTCATGGACTATGCTTATCCAAATTGAATTTGCTTCTTAGACCACCAAAATCACTATAGATTTAAGCCACTCATCCTCCCTTGAAACACGTATCACAAATAAAATGGTGGAATTAACAAATAAAACACAAGTATTCCTCCATTTTATTTTGAGATTTATAAAACTGGTCCCTCAACTTTAGGAATCTGGAAATACATAGTCCCTTCACTTTCTATTTTGTTTTTATTTCTTCTTCACATTTTACTCGTGATTAAGTGGAAAAATTGAAAATAAAGCCTAGACATGAAAAATCTACATCAACACAAATCTACGCATAAGGTAGAACGTAGTCATATCCTGGCCTCTATGCACACAGTCGTGAAAATTTAAAAAATGGTATATGTGGAATCAAAACGGACGTCATCAACATGAAATGTAGGCTCGAGGATGTCTGCAAGACCCTCCTCTCTGTTGTTGATGGCAATGCACTGTTTCTTTCTTGAGTTTCTCATTATCTCATATCACTTTCTCTTAACCATTAATAGCTAAGAGTGAGAGAGAAAGAACGGTAAAAAGAAAGGTGCGATAATCTAAGGTAGAATTGAATGATGGTTTGGAGAAGGTTTTGATGATCAAGGGGTCGTAGTAGCAACAAAAGGAACATGAAAGCCAACTCTGTCAATAGTGTGGTAAAGATGTCCTTAATATACAACCTCGGTCGATGGCAGGTTATTTTTCACACCCTTAGATTTATAAAAGGAACCACAAAGCAAGTATACAATATGGTCTAGTGTCGTGTTTTCCAAGTAATAAAGTGGTAAAAACCGGTTATCGTCCACGAAAATTGTAGTAAAGGCTTAATAAGAGTCCTAATAAAGAAATGATTTCAGATGATAAAATTGAAGACTTCAGTTGGATCTGAGTTAATAATAATGAAATAACATAATATAAAGATGTAGCATGGTGTAAGATTTGTGGTGAAATGTAAACACAAATTCTAGCATACAATGATGTAGGAATGCCACAACATGCAGTAGGTCGTAACTAATTCCACCATCTATTTTAAGGTATTCCTCTCGGACTTCTACCATTACACTATATTATAACTTTCAACCCATATTTCTATAAGGTATCTGAACAAGGGATAGTGACGAAATGATGTCTTCAAAATATATGAATAAACAAATCTTTTTGTTAAAAATCACTCTTTCGAGCCAATTCCCATATCATTCAAGTTGACGTATGTTCTAGATAGTTCATCTCTGAATATACCACACTTTAACACTTTCTCAAGTCTACCTCTTATATCATTCAAGTTGACGTGCATTCAATGGATTATCTCTAAGACCATGATACTTTAACACTTTCAAAGTGATCAACTTGTCAAAAAGTGTCATTAGTTTTTATAAAAACTTGAATGAAATGGTGGAACGTTGTTATTGCGAAACAACGTCCACTTTCCTTCAGTTTAACATTTCATCTTTGTCTTACACCCAAGCTAATGGAATTAGCTACACATTACGGAAAGTAAATGACAAGAAATATAAAGAACAAAATATACAGACATAAATATAAATGACGGAAAGTAAATGACAGAATATAAAGAGCGGAAATTAAATGACAAGAAAAGTAAATAAAGTAAAAACAATACTGCAACAATACATCTTAAAGAACACTTTTTAAAGAAATTCAAGAACTAACTTGAATATACTAAGAAGCTACAGATCTGAATCTTGATGAAAGGATAACAAAAAGAGTTCTAAGAAGTCTTATATATACAAAAACACCAAGGAAGAAGATAAAAGTTTAGGGAAAGTAATGGCTCCTAAAAAGAAGATAAAAGGTGAAAAAGCAAACGAGAATATCATATCAAGTACAAAAAGAGTTAACCAAAAATTTGTTTCTTTCTTCAAGAAGCAGCAGCTGAATTCATAAAGTCTCTCCAAAAAGTCGCTTCTTACAGGAAAAGAGCGGGTGGAATGTTGCAGCACAGAACAATAGGCATTCAAGTTTAAGATTTTATCTACTCTAATGGTGCAAAAACAAGCTAATCGCTTAATTTAGCTCCAAGTATATACAAATGGAAAATAATGTAATAAAAATGACTCAATGTTGGGATGAAAGAAAATAAACTACCTAAAAGTAAAGAAATAAGCGTTTTACGCCTTGAATAATCAATGTATATCAGTCAAGTATTAGAAAGTTGCTTAAGTAGAAAAATAGTAAATGCAATACATAAAAATATAGAATTAACTATAACCAAAAAAATAATGAGTTACTTTGAAACATATAATCATAATGGCATGAATTTACATATAAAGTACATTGTATGTTATCACAAGTATGAAGTAAGGATACTAATGTCATGTAAAAGTTCTATTCCTTCCTCAATCATAAACGAGCCTTTCGTACTTAGAGCGTTCTGTTTGACCTTCCAATACTACTTGAACTATACCCTCCAAAAGTATCACTATTAGTTATAAAAGGAGCAGTATAAAGATCAACATCTTCCACTTCAATCATTAAGCTACTCATTTTGTTGTACTTCATGTCTTGACAATCCCAAGGATGTTTTCCGAACTTCCTCAACGATTCAAGATCCATGGTCACTTCTTTCATGCTAGGCCTTCTCTCACTTGCTATATTAAGGCATCTACATGCCAGATCACATGTTCCTTTTATCTGCTCGTCAGTTGCCTCGATTACTATTTGATGTTCAAGAATTTCAAGCAATTGATTTTCCTTCATTGCATTCACAAAATATGTTGCAAGATTTCGATCATCTAAGCATCTATCTATGTTGATGGGCTTTTTGCCTGTTAAGAGCTCTGCAAGAACTACTCCAAAGCTATACACATCACTCTTATCTGTTAGTTGGCCTGTATGGAAATATTCAGGATCCAAGTACCCCAATGTCCCTTGAACTAATGTAGTAACTTGATCATGACCCAAGGGGACTAACCTCGAGGCTCCAAAGTCTGCAATTTTTGTTGTGTAATTGTCATCCAACAAGATATTAGTTGATTTCACATCTCTATGTATGATGGACATTCTAGTATCTGTGTGAAGATAAGCAAGTGCACTAGCTGATTCATGTGCTATCCTTAGACGATTATTCCAAGACAATCTTTCCAAGCCACTTGTTTGATTATGAATATGACGATTAAGAGTGTCATTAGAGATGAATTCATAAACCAGTAATGGGATATCGGTTTCCAAACAACATCCCAAAAGTTGCACGATGTTTTGGTGATTAATTTGTGTGAGAATTACCAATTCATTTATAAATTGTACCCTTTGTCCTTCATCCAATCTTTGTGACTTCTTGATTGCCACGACAGACTTATCTGGTAGAGTCCCCTTGTAAACAATGCCATTACCTCCTTTGCCAAGAATCCTATTTTCTGCAAAATTTTCAGTAGCTGCTTCTAGCTCTTCAACTTGAAAAATTCTCATGGAACCGATACCAACTCCACCCTTGGTCTTTAGTTTATCTTGTAATAGCACACCTCCATTTTTTTCAAAGAATTTTTCTCTTAGCTTAACTAGCTTCCTTTTCTTGGCGGTGAAGTACAACACCCATAATCCAATCAGGATGGCGGGGAATCCAAGCCCCAAACCTATTATTATCATGGAAAAGTTACCATATTGTGTGGCATCCTTATTTTTAAAGTTGTGTTTAACTGAAGTAATTTAGAAAACCAACAAGAAAAGGGAACATTTTTGGAGTAAGCAAAATGAACAAAAAGGGGTGTCATTACTAAAAAAAGAGGTGCAAATAGTTGATTTGGAATATGATATGCAAACTGATCAACTACATGTTTTGATATGCCTTCATGATCGAGCCAAGGAAAATTAAGAGGTATCTTGATAACTAATTAAAATACTTGAGGGTCATTTACCAAACGCTAAATGGTTAAGCATTTAAAGGGTCACTTACTTGACCAAAGTTGAGCATGACAAGAACCAAAAACCTTACAGAGAGAAGAGACATAACTAAGACCGAAAATTTTATCCGATTAGCTCTTATTAAGTAAGGGACACTTACCATCAACATTACTATATCATTTTGATCACTGAGAATTTGACTTAGTAAAGTAAGTGAGAGTGGTGATTTTTATTTCGAACGAAGTTGAACAACTAAGTAAAATGTTACATTAACAATTTATAAAACACTTTGAAATAAGCTTTTGGAATGTTTTTTTATGAATGATTTTCATGAAACGCATTTTAAAATGTTGGATAAAAGGCCAATAAGTGTTTTATGTGGTATGGGGGGTTTGCTATAAACGATTAGAAAGTGTTTACAGGAGTAGAAGAAACAGATAGAATTTTACCTAATGTGAGTTGGAGGATTGGAATTTTGCGACTACAACCATCTTTAATCTTGGCATCACCAGAATACCCTTGTTTACATTTGCACGTGTAATTCCCAGGAATATTAACACAAGTTCCATGACATGGAAACTGCAACTTATCTTTACACTCATCGATATCTGAAAAGAAAATAGAGTATCACAAAGCATTAATCGGCTAATAGTAAGCATAGAAAATGAAAAAAAAAATCCATTCCAAATCCGTTATGCGAGCCAATTAATCTCAGGATGTCCACCCATTTCGTGGGTATTCTGGAGTCACCGTATTTAAACCTCTGTGGCCACAAAAAGATTTTTATTTCTCTTTGGATTCGAATCTGGGATTTCTAGACGCTTTTGATTTTTATAGGTCAAGCTCAAAATAATCGGACACCACCCTTATGGTTACATGTCAATTTTTATCAATTACACGAAAATTACTATTCACTATAATAATTTTTACCCAACTTTTAGCTTAATGAGCATTAGAAAACTATTATTTAATCAAATAATAATAATAATAATATAATAATAAAACTCGAGGTAAATACTATTTATTACAATTTAATACCAAAATATTAATTTATTAATTAACATAAAAAGTAAATAAT